ATGGCCTCCTTCTTCTCCAAGCTTTCCAAGGAATGTGACCAATGCCAGAAAATTATTGATCGAAGTTCTATTAAAACCATACGTTTTGAAAGCGACATGAGCACCCCTCATCAAATCCTGGGTCCTCTCTTCAAAGCGGTAGTACCACCAACCATCATTGGACTTCTCAAGGAGCACTGCCTATCACCCTTGCTGCAAGGGTTTGAATGGTCGAAGTGGGACTTGGCAAGGCCTCAAGGTTTATGGCCCTCGACCACTACAACCTGGGCAGCTTAGGTCGTACGAATGGAAAAAATCTTCGGCGAGCAATAGAAAGCCCTAGGCATCTACAACGCCATTCACCTCTCATCCATGGAAGTCATCCTAGACAATGAGCTCCTCTTAGCGGCCTTATGCTTCTGGTTTTCGGCCACCAACACCATGGTCCTCCCTCTTGGCCCCATTGGTCCCACCATCCTTGACATTACTGCCATCTTGGGGACTTCCCCGACCGGAATCCCAATCGACGCCGCCCTTTCTGGGTACCCGTCGAACCTTGACCCGAAGGTGCTTTTCGACAAACGGGCCCTTGAGACGCTGAGCGGTGAAGGCCAATCACCCTCAAAAGAAGAGGTTCACAAACTTTACAAGAACTTCTTCAACTATAACACCCTCTATCTCCATTTTGCTGGTTGAGGAGAAGATGCTCTGCGAGAAGGGGAACACGAGGCTTTCCTTTTTTATTGGTACAACAAATTTATCTGTTGTGCCAAATCCAACAAGTGTCTAGTCGAGAACATGCCAGTGGCTGAAGCCCTAGCTAGCAGTCACACTTTGGCACTCAGCCCGGCCATTCTAGCCCATCTCCTACGCTCATTGGCCGAAACGACCCTAGATAAGGTTGACTTGTACCAGATTGGTCCCCTCTGGGTCTTCCAACTCTGGTTGCAAGTGTAATTTGCCTCTCTTCGGCCAAAGATTGCCGATTTCTCGCCTATGGAAGCATTCGACCCTCAGCTAGCTTCTCGGCCAACACCTCATCACCAAGCTGAAGAGGTGTTCAGATACTTTTTTGCTCTCGACGATCTTTCTAATGACGAGTTCTTGATCTGTCGTCGTCGAGAATACCCTTCGTCGATCAGGCTTCCTTCATCAGCGTGGGGCGCGGATGAAGATGCTGACCTTCGTCAATCCTGGGGGTCTTTCGTGCTTACCCGCGACCTGCCTCTCGGCTGTTATGGTCACCGAACGGGTTGGGAAGTGTATCATCCCAACTTCCTCGCTCGGCAGCTTGGCTACCTTTAAGGTTGCCCGGTCCCCCTTCTCTCCTCATGGTCCTTCCTAAGCTGCGGACGCGAACTCGGTTATTCAAAAAAGGAATGTAATGACGCTAAAAAGGAGTTCCAGGAGCGATGCCAAAAATTCCGCCTTCGACCGGTCATTCTAGAATCTCTTAGCACCGATACCTTCGGCGATTGGTGGGAAGAATACACTCATAGCTTCTTCAGCACACCGGTCGAAGACGTCATTAACAAAATCTTCGGCGATCGTCCCCATAAGGCTCCTGCTCCCCAACCTAAAGAGGCTACCCATGGTATATAGCTTCCTTTACATATTTAGAGAGAGATATATATATATATATATATATATATATATATATCCTTACTGTTATTGACTTGGCTCTCAATTTTCAGGTAGCCGAGTGTCGAAAAAGGTAAAAGCGGTGGCTGTAATTGCAGCCAAGAAAAAGACAATCCCCTCTTCCAAGCCGAGCAAACGACCCCGACAGAAGACTGAGACGGTCGCTGCAGTCCCCCGTCCTACAAAACGCGTCAAAAAATTGGCAAACAAAAGGCAACGAGAAATTCATGTCATCTCTAGCCAAACGTCGGGAATAGCCACTCCCGATGTTTCTCCTTCCACCCCAACTGTACACATCCCGACGGTCGTGCAGTCGGCTCCGATAAGTCAGGCGCCCAAAGCTCGTCCTGACCCTCTAGTCGTGACTGGGCCAATGACTGCTCCATTGGTCAAACCGTCTGTAGTTTCAGGGTCTACCGCTGCACCTGTTGTGGAAGAGGTGGTCCCCCTAGCCGAGAGAACTCCTTCTAAAAATCCAAAACACGCGGCAGTCATTCTAGAAGAGAGCGACGGGAGCAACGAGATTCCGCTGGCGGGTCCCCCTGCATCCGAGGCGGCTGTCCAAGTCGGCCTTTCTGCGGCCGACCGTGGCAAACGACCTGTCGTAGAGCCAGAGGAGTGATGGAAGCGATGAGATTCCGCTGGCGGGTCACCTTCAACCCCGCAATCAACCTTCCCCTGCGTCCGAGGCAGCTGTCCAAGTCGGCCTTTCTGCAACCGACCTTGGCAAACGTCCTGCCGTAGAGCTAGAAGCGACGGCGAAAATGCCCGTTTACCCGTAGGACTAGGACTTCAACATTCCTCCCCAAGAAGCCTCTTCGGCTTTCGTAAATACCCCAACTGCTTCTCTTTTGGTTACTTTTCTACCTTAGAATTCTAAACCAGGAAGATACTAAATGTTAGGTGCCTACCCATTCTTTTCATCGAAAATTCTATGTGTCGAAGAGTGTTATCTATATTTCTTGGCCGCCTCCGTGGCCATCGAACGTAGATAACCTTAATCGGCCGCGTGAATTGAAGAGCAGTCTAAGGCACTGGGCTCGGCCATTAAGTTCTTTAGGTTCGAGCAATGAACCTAAAGACATGGCCGAAGTCTCATCTAGGCAGGTTTAAAACAAAACCTTCTTGTTATGTTCTTTCGTGATATCCTTGAGCTTAAGCTAATTTTTGTGTGCAGCCCTCATAGGAAGTCGAGTTTAAAGCCCTCATGTCAAGCACTATTGGAGCGGCTGGCCCTTCGGCCACTACAACTGACCCCGCTGATTCAACTGCTCTGGTTCGGGTGCAAGAAGTTTTGTCCCTCTCTGCGTCGCAAGTTTTTGAACGTAAAAGCCTCGATTTATTGGGTGCATGCCTAAACGACCTCGGCGCAGATTGTCAAATGAGCGCCGAAGCCATCGTTCAGCCGTCGTCCACCTTAGAGCGAGTTCGGAAAACTTTTAGTGTCCTTGAGAACGCTCTTCGGGCTGAACAAGATCTGAAAGCTGCCATGGCCGTCTAAGACACTCTTTGTCCAAAGATTGATGCTTTAAAGGCGAAAGGGGAAGCCTTGGCCGACCTCGACTGTCAAATAGCCGAATTGGCAAAACGAAGGTCGGTTATTGTTTCTGAGCTTGCGAAAGACTTCGAGTCGGGCGGTAAAGATTGTTTAACCGAGTATGCGGCGAGCGCGAAACAAATCGAGCAGTTGAAGATGGACAAGAAGAACCGGCAGGCCAAGGTCATAATGGGCGAGGTGCGGTGGTTAGAGCTGAAGGCCCTTCTCGGCACTCTTCTTCCTTCTTCGCCCTGACTTTATTTAAATGTAAACTGATCGACCCACTCAATTTGTGTATTCTTTTATCGACCTTAATGAAATGAATTTCTATTCCCGCATTTCCCATGTGACCGGATAGTACTTCTTTAAAAACTTCCCATTGATTGGTAATCTGTGAACTAAACCGGTTCGGTCTCTAAGATGATATGTGCCTTTGCCGAGAACCTTATGTATGACAAACGGCCCTTCCCAATTTGGCGACCATTTTCCGAACTTGGGGTCTTTAATTCCTATGGGCAACACCGTTTGCCAAACTAATTCTCCTTCGCCAAATGTTTTTTGTCGGACCTTTTGATTATAGGCTTGCTCGGCAATCTATTTTTGTGCCACCAGCAAGTTATAAGCATCAAGTCGCGCTTCTTCTAAGTCTTCTAACTCCTGTCTCATGGACTGATTATATTCGGCGCTAAACAGACTACTTTGTTCAATTATTCGTAACGAATTTATGCTTAACTCGACTGGTAACATTGCATCGTGTCTGTAGGTTAGTGCATACGGGGTTGTCCCAGTCTCCGATCGGAGCAATCTCGAGAATGCTGATCAACATTTTGTTACTTGCCTCGGCCTGCCCATTTGCTTGTGGATAATACGGTGTAGACTGTTCAAGCTGAATATTCAAACTTGCCATATATTCTTTAAACCTCTCGGCTGTAAAGATTGTGCCATTGTCAGTTATGATCGTTTCTGGTACGCCGAATCTGGTCACAATGTGTTCTTCCACAAAGTCGCAAACTTCTTTAGACGTTAGCTTGACATACGATTTTGCTTTGCCCCACTTAGTGAAGTAATTGGTTGCTACCAGTATCCATGCGTGCTTGGCAGCCCCGAAAGATGGTGTGATTTTGCCGATTATGTCCATGGCCCATCCTCTAAACGGCCATGGTTTAGTGATCGAATGTAATGACTCGACCGGGACCCATTGTATAGGACCATGAATCTGACACTATATGCACCATCATGCAAACTCGATACAATCCTTTAATATTCTTGGCCAAAAATAGCCGTGTCGTCGAAGCAACCACCGCATTTTACATCCGAACTGATGAGCTCCGCAAACCCTTTCATGGACTTCTGTGATTGCTTGAGCACCCTCTTGGGGGCTGAGGCATAGCAGTAATAGACCATCCTCACCCTTTCGGTATAACTTGTTTTGATACGTGACATAGTTTGTGGCGTGAACTTTTGTCTTGCGACTGTGTTTGCCATTGGGATTGTCAAGATACTGCATAATGGGCTTTCTCCAATCATCTGGTATTGCCTCGACAGCGCAAACATCTATAAGGTCTTGTCGGTCTAACAACGAAGGTAAGGACATGACTCTTGTGCATATCACGTTGTCGCGTCGGAGGACTTGCTGGTTAACCAAGGCCGGGTATAGCTGTCGTAACACGAGTATTTCTCGGCCTAGCTTGCCCCCCAAAAGTTATGCATCGGAGGCGATTTGAGCCAATTCGTCTGCGTCGGTATTATGGATTCGGGAAATATGTTCAAATGTAATACCGTCGAAGGATTCGGCCAAATAGCTGGCGACCATGTGGTAGGGTGCCAGGGTACAACTCATGCATCAAAAAGAACCATTAAGTTGGTTAATCACAAGTTTGGAGTCGTCGAGGATGAGGGCACGGGTTGCCCGCAAGTCATGAAGGATTCCAAGGCCGATGATAAGGGCTTCGTATTCGGCGTGATTATTTGTGCATTCAAAATCCAGCTTGAGCGAAAAATACCAACAATCGTGGTTTGGGGATTGAATGACATTTCCAACGCCATCCGAGGATGAAGTACTTGAGCCGTCAAAGTACATCGTCCAGTAGTTATCGCGCGTTTCAACCATGCTGATTTCGACGTCGGTGCCCCTAAAACCATATGGGGAAGGGTGTTGAGCAAGGAAATCAGCCAGTGCCTGACCTTTGACAGCTTTCTGGGGCACGTATTGCAAGCTAAACTCGGACAACGCCATTTTCCACTTCCCAATTCGGCCTTTTACGATTGGTTGGGTGAGCATGTAGCGGATGACGTCGGTCTGGGCAATGACTTGGGTGACCGATGGGAGCATGTAATGTCAAAGCTTAGAGGCGGTGAAAAATACGGCTAGACAGAGCTTCTCGACGGCGGAATAATTGATCTCCGGTTGATTGAGATTTCGACTTAGGTAAAAAATAGCCTACTCTCATCCGGTGTCGTTGTCTTGCGCGAGGAGGCAGCCAATGGACTCTTCGGCCGCCGAGATATATAGCTTGAGAGGCTTATCACGCCGAGGTGGGACAAGGACAGGTGGCGTCGTGAGGGAGACTTTGATTTGCGTAAACGCCGCCTGATGCTCGTTTTTCCACTCAAATTTATCTGAGTCCTTGAGTTTCAAAAGTGTAGAGAACACTTTCATTTTACCCACCGAGTTAGCTATAAATCGGCGGAGAAAATTTATCTTACCAAGTAAGGACTGTAATTGTTTCTTCGTCGTCGGGGGTGGGGCATTGATGATTGTGCGTGCTTTATTTTCATCCACTTCAATCCCACGGTGGTGCACGAGGAAACCGAGAAAATTACCGGCTGACACACCGAAGGTACATTTGGCAGGATTCATTTTGAGGTTGTGTTGACACATGCGGAGGAAAGCCTGTCGGAGATCATCCAGATGTGTCTGCCGGCATTTAGATTTGATTACAACATCGTCGATGTAGACTTCGACGATGGTTCCAATTAAATCATGGAATATGGTGTTCATTGCTCGTTGGTACGTGGCACCGGCGTTCTTGAGGCTGAATGGCATGACAACCCATTCGTATGTACCGAGTGCCTCCGGGCAGCGAAAAGCGGTCTTATGCACATCGGCTTCAGCAATGAAAATTTGGTTGTACCCGGCATGTCCATCCATAAAAGACAAGATCACATGATTCACTGCAGCATCGATTAACAAATCTGAAATCGACATTGTATACTCATCTTTAGGAGTTGCCAGATTCAGATTTCTGAAGTCGATGTAAATGCGCAATGCACCACTTTTCTTTAAAACAGGAACGATATTTGCCAACCATTCGACGTATCGAGCTGTCCGAATGAATCTTGCTTTCAAGAGACGAACAAGTTCATCCTTGATGCCGAGTTGCACTTCGGTCGAGAATCGTCGAGGTGGTTGACGGAAAGGTTTACACCCAGGTTTAATACGTAACTCATGCTCGACGAGAGTGCGATCTAAGCCAGGCATCTCATGGTAGCTCCAAGCAAAACAATCTTTGAACTCCTCAAGCAAAGCACGAAGTTCAGCTTTCATAGGTTGGGGGAGCAAAGCACTAATAAATAAAGGTCGTGGGTCATTGGCCGTCCCAACATTAATTTCGTCCAACGGGTCCTTGACTTAGGGCTGATTGTCTTCGAGCTCGGCCGGGGTAACTTGAATTTTGTTAAGAGATAAGACAGGACCATTTTCTCCTTCGGCGAGGAACTCTACGAGGTTAACGCCTAAATTTGGTTGCTTAGATATAGTATACCAATGAGCCAGCAGTTGTTCTATAGTAGATGAAACCGCGGCCCTACGTTTTTCCCGATCGGTGTCAAACATCGGGGTCGGGGATGAAGTCAGCTAACCCGAGTCTCACCGAATCCTAGTGGACAGTTTCGGCGCCAACCTCGATAGCTTTCTGCACAGAAATCTGAGTCGGCTGTCCTTCATCATTGAAACCTTGTAGGGTGATGTAGCCGATATGGTCATCATAATACCGTGCTTGGATCATGTTAGCTTCGAACGGCTGACTATCAATCGGGTGAACAATGACCGATTTGCCGTCCCAAAAAATAAGCACTTGATATAATGACAAAGGGATACAGCTGGTTTAATGAATCCAGTCTCGACCGAGCAGTGCATTATACTCGGTCTTGGAGTCGACGATGAAAAAGGTGGTCATGTGATTACGGCCGGCGATGTTTACTGCTATAGGAAGCACCCCTTTGGTTTGGGATTTGTCTCCAACGAAACTGCTCATTGTGATCCCAGAGGGGATAAGTTCGTCGTTGGAGCGACGTAACACCTTCATGATGTTTACAGGCATGATATTGACAGTGGCTCCACAGTCGACAAAAACTTTGGAGACTGCATACCCTTTGATATGGGCCGTTACATACAATGGCTTCAAATGATGAAGTTTGGCCGATGATGATCGAGGAAATAATTCGGCCAAAGCTGCCTTGAGGTTGTCATCTTTTGTTGTTGACTCAACTTCGGCAACAGTTACAAAATCAATGTGACCGGCTTCCTCGGCAACTACGTCGTTGTCGAGGAAATTTGATTGAGATGTGCTCGACTGAAAATCAGTGGGCAAAACATGGACCATACTGATTTCCATGTTATCCAAGACCGACGGGCCCATCGGGTTACGATCATCCTCTTCAGGCTCTTCTCTTTCCTGGACACCGACTGCGGTATCTGCTTCTGTCGGAGTTGTACTAAGAGACTCCTCTGCTCTTTCTTCAATGGTTTGTTCCCGCGGTGTCTCTTCGAAAGTTTGTTTGTTCTGTTGAGGTGACTCATGTGCGTTTGAAATCAGAATTGTGTCTGGGATTAGTGCCAGGATACGAGCTTGCTCTTGGTACATTATACGGGCATCCCTGGTGTCGAGATAGGCATCCAACCGTGCGACTCGTGTTATTTCATCGGCCGTAAGGCCGAAGAGAGAAATGGCCGAAAAGACTTCGAAGTGGTATCGTAAATACTGAAGGTCCTCCAATAAGAAAGGAAGGTCTGCCGCATCGATATCAGTGTATGGGTCGACTTCAAAGCCAAGGACTCAAGCTCCTCGTATGTGCTGGAACCTAGCTTTCAACCCTGGGTTTGAAGTTTTTTGAATAATTCGCTCGGCATCCAGGCAAGTTAGGATGAGATCAATTGTATCTTGACATGCTTTCGGCAAACCATATAGATACTTAGCCGAATGCTTTTTATGAAACTCTCGCATATATTCCAAGGCCTCCCCGAGGAAAGGTGGATGTAAATTCCGTCGAATTTTGATCAAAGGTTCTTGTAGGGTTAGCTAGGAACGTTCGCTTTCGGCTTCCTGCCTGAAATGCTCGAAGCATACCTTCATTTCCCTGGGCCGAAGAAGAAGTTTGATCCGCTTATCAGCCTCCTCAAATGTGGTTTCAACATCTCGATTGACCAGCCGTTTCCCTTGAACCAGCTCTGTCATAATAGTTGGGGATGGTCGTTCATCATCGTTGGCAACTGTTTCCTTCAGCCATCATTTAGGGACCGAAGTTTCTTAGGCTGCCCGCTGGCGGGCCATGCAGTCTATTCTTTGGTGCCGACGTTTCTGGGATTTGGATAGTGCAGTGTAGACGCCTTTCGAAGAGTGATATGTATACCAACGCTGGTCTTGAGGTTTGGGAGGTTTGAAAGTTTGGCTCTGCGATGATTCCGAGCTGTTAGAATTGTGTATGTAATAATCTTCATCATAAAACGGAGCATCGAAATTGAGGCGCCGTCTGACTGAAGGTTTCTCTTCAACCCGCACTTTAGGGCCAAGCCTATAAAAAACCTCTTGATGTTGACCTGCGTCGAGCACCTTTTGCTGTATTGCGGCTGTAGGTTGTTCCATTATAGCCGGAGATGACTCTTCCTTTGGCTCGGCGTTGACATTTGCTTTACACTTTTTGCATAAAACTGCCGACCCACCTTCTTCATCAGTGCTCTAATCTATCATGGGCTTGACAATAGCGGGTCCCGTGAGAGCTGTAGGTGGTTTGTTTGAACGAAAATCAACATTGAAACGTGGTCGAGAATTTTGATTCAGAAAGCGTTGCGTTGTAACGATCTCTGCCTTCCCTTTTCCTTTGTCCTTATGTAGGCGAGCATCTACCCTATTTACTGTTGCCGTGGGAAATGGGTCGGTATCAACGCCCATCTTCTTCTCCGGAAATCTGAGTTTGCCGTTATCAATCCAGCTTTGGACGTTGTCTCGAAACACGACGCAGTTATTTGTCGTATGTTTGCTTGAATTATGGTATTTGCAATATATCTTTCCTTTAAGCTCTTCGACCTTGGGAATGTTATACCCAGGCCGAAGTTTGATGATCTTCGCTGATAACAATTGATCAAAAATTACATCGGCCTTTGTAATATCAAAAGTATAAACTTTTGACGTTTTCGTTATTTCTTCAATGGCCGAGTGGGTTTTGACATCCTTAGAGTCAATTTGAGTCAGCGCCTTGCAAACGTATGGCTTATCTATTACTATCTCAGATGTGTCCACGCTGACGCATTGAGACTCTTCACCCTCGGTTGATGCGTAACTGATAGTTGGATTTTTGTAGATCGTCCCTCGGGATGGGGTTTTTGAGATCTTCTCTTCTCGGAGAAAATAATCATATTGCTTGACATGCTGGGCTAGTTCATACATATCCCGAAAGTTTGCCCCCAAGAATTTCTTTTTGTATTCTACGTCAAGACCGTTCAGAGCAAGTTTAACAAATTCAACTTCAGGGAGAGGACTCGGCACCAATTCCTAGCCGATTTAAATTTGGTAAGATAATCCATTGGTGACTCATCAGATGCTTGAGCCATCCTTGCTAATGAGGACACTGACATTTCCATCCCTGGCCGATAAAACTGCTCGTGAAATTTCTCGACCAACTCCTCCCAGCTCTGGATGGAATTCGGTGGGAGGTTGATATACCAAGCAAATGCTGAACCGATCAACGAAAAGTTGAAAAGTCACGGCTTCTGAAAGTCACTATTGACATCTCCGCATTGCGTGGTGAAACGAGCCACATGTTCCAACGAGGATAAGGATGATTCTCCGGCGAACAAGCTAAAATCTGGAATTTTGAAACCTTTAGGATATTCGAATTTTTCCACATAAGCTGGGTATGGATGGATGAACTTAAGGAATTTCAGCCCCTTTTTCATGGCCAAATCGATCATCCGTTGGACCTTGTCATATCAACGGGTGTTGCTTCTACTCTATGGTCGGATCTGTCTGACCTACTATTTGATCCTCCTTTTTTTTCCAAGTTAATTGGTTTGAGCCAAGCAGGGATTGACTTGGCCGGTACAATTGGTAACAGATTATTTCTTGGTGGCAAGTGTTGGGCAAGATCAAAAGACCTGCCGTCGCTGACCTTACTAACCAGTATTTCGAGCAATCTGGTTTGTGCCTCACTGGTATTACGTATCACGTCATGAAGTTTATCGATTCCTTGACTAAACGTCTGTTCAACCGTCCGAGACTGCACGTCAAGTCGTTTTCGAAGAAACGATCTTGTTGGTGGATCAGATCCTTCACCACCATCCTCGTCACAATCCTCTATTATCCCTTCATTGAGAACGCAAGTGTTTATGTTAAGGATTTCTAGACTGTGAAGCTGACCGTCGAGATTAACTTCCCTTTCTCGACGAGTTGCACTTCTGAACTCAGGTGTCACGACGTTAAGGGGATTCTGCGCCTGTGGCACACTTTGTCCTATGTTCTGAATTGGCAAATCGGCTGTTGATTTTCCCATAGCTGTTTTCTTTTTTATCGATCGCGTTTCAATTGGCATGAACTTCGTAGTTTAGCACTGGGTCCCACTGGGCGTGCCAAAATGTTGACCCTAAAAACTACCAAGCCTAGGTGGCGCGCAGACCGAGTAATCTATAAGCTAACGACGTCCTTCGGTGAATGCGGGGCGTGCCAACTTGTCGGCCGAGGAGTAAATTTGTTGATGTTGCGTTGGGTGAGCGGCTGACTTCTGCATCTCGCGATTACGATCGAGGAAGGAACATGTATCGGCCTCTTGGGTTCTCGAAACCTGAAAACAAGGCTACTATTCTTACGAAGTTCACGAATCGTCGTCGTCGGATTCGGTCACAGTGATGGTATTCGTCAGAGTAAACTCACGCTGAATCGACACCAAAGTGTAAGGGCACAAATACTCAAAGCAGATATAAGTCTTAATAGTGAA